GATTGAGAGCCGCTATATACTAAAATATGGCAATAAACATTCATTGATCTTGTGAATTGGAAACTCCTTTGTGAATAACACTACATGGTTTGTGGTAAGATGGTGGATTACTTGGGAAATGATAAATGTCAATTTAGGACTGACATTTGAGCATTCAACCTTTCTTTTCAATACCCCTAGTAGCAACTTTGAGTCATACACATACATATCATATTCTTCATGCACCTATGTTATCCATACTTTTCCACATTGGAGTACAACGTTTTGCACATATTTGTCCATCTTTTTACTTCCAAGTGTGTAGTGGGTATTTGACCGTTTTGATCACAAGTAGGCTATGGTAAGAAGTTGATGAATTCTCATTTGGTAGTATGCCTATCACAGAATCAATATTTGCTTGTTGCTTGTTCATAAATATTTAAACTTCAATTTTAAGTGTACACCATTCTCAGCTCCATAGAGAAAAACCCCACACTAAACACTTTGATACCCGTGAGTTATGGAGTTGAACCTTCAGCTTGAGATATACTTGATGTTGCATGTGTTAGGGTTAGCGGTAAGATGTCTATGGCTTGACACACACTCACACATTTTGGCATGAGTCTTGGACTTCTTGATAATCGTGACATTGTTAATTTCGTGTGGTATTGAATTTGAAGAGGGCATGACATGTGGTTAAATTAGAACTTGATAAATTAAATTGCAATATTGACTAGTCTTTGATCATTTTATTTTTCATTAAATTGTTAGGGACTAGCAATAAGTAAGTTGGGGGTGTGATAATAGCACATTTATTACGTTTTTCATCCATTAATATTTGCGTTTCTATGATTATTTGATGCCTAAATGGACTAAGTACTTCTGTATCTTGGTTTAGGTTGCAAATGGGTGAAAACAGTGGAAAATTGAAGAAAAGTGTGAAAAAGGACTAAAATAGAAGAAAGTGAAAGTTTAATGACTAAAGGGAAAATACTCTAAACTTCTTTATAACCTTGTGATGAAGATTCGAGAGTGTTAGAGGTCAATTGGATGAAGAAATGATTCAATGGGATGAAACATAGCCAAAACATTATCATATATCAACTTTCAAGCTGAAAAGTTTTGCACCGATTTTCATCCTCATCTTGAGACCAATTTTTTGATACGGTAGATGATCAAATTGGAAGTTAACATCTGAATCAAAGTTGTAGATCTTTGCATTAGATTTCCAACACATTTTGAATCACCTCAATCAGATATCATATGAAAACGTTATTATAAAAATACTAAAAGATATGCAGAATAGAAAAATAACAGGACAGAGAGCATGGCGTCGTGACGCCAGCAGACGGGTTCAGATCCGCGAATTTTTAAGTTATTCTCTCAGCCCGGCTCGTCCCTAATTCTTCCCTAAACTCCACTACAATATAAAAGGGAACAAAAAGACCTAATGGAGAAGAGTTTTTAGGCAGCCAAACACTTCGTCTCTTATCAATTTTCTCTCAAGAACTCCATGGAAGGCTAGAGAAATTGGTGAAGCCATGAAGGAACTCGGTTAGATTTGGGAATTTCCATGTCGTTTCTTTCATGTAATGCACTTTACATTGTTAAACAATTCTAGGGCTAGATTTCTTATTCTTGTGGATGTGTTTGGAAGTTGGTTTAATTTATGTTAGATTTTCATGGATTCAATCAGTTTTTTCCATTCAACAATTGAAGTATTTATTGAATTTCAACTCCAAATCCCCTATTGGTATGATCCTTTACCATTATATGCTTGATGTATATGATTTTTTTTGGATCTGATTTCAATAGATTAATGTGGTAATATGTTGTGAAAGAAATCTAGGTTTGGAATTACCGTGGAATTGAATAGGATTTGAATGCTATATCTTCCAATTAAAGTGTTGGGACAAAAACCTTTAATTGAGTATATTTATGCATAATTGACATTGATTGACCCAATCATTAACTCCTTTAAGACTACGAAGACTACTTTATATATTGATTCAAATTTCATCAATTTTACACATTGATATTAAAACCTTGTTCGAATTAAAGACTCCTTCACAAATCACTAAAACCCTAATTTTTGATCCTTTGAATAATTTTCCATCTCCTTGTGGATACGACACCCCAAAACTACACTACAACTACCGCATTATTCTTTGGAACGTAATCATGAATCTTTCAACATCAATTGACTTTTGACTGTTCAAGCAACCTCGCATAGACACACTTTATCCACTAAGTGTGTTTAGGTATTTAAACTAAATTAACTTCAAAACAAATCAAAATGACATGTGTACTTTTCTTTACACGTCGCGTGGTATTTAGTACAATCTCTCTTTATGTATCTCAGATTTCACAAAAGTAAAAACCATATTTATCACTTTCAGGCTTTCATTGTTTATTTTGAACCGAACCAGATGCAACTTTCTAATTATTTATAACGTGTCCTTAGAGCTACTTGCCAAGTGAGTAATATCAGTTTTATCTTGTTTTAGCATTTCTTTTTTCTTACACACAATATGGAATGAGCTCATTAAGAGTTCACTTTCCATTTTCACAATTGTAACTGACCTTAAATTAGTCGAATTTTGCAAGAATAGAAATCAAAACTAAATGCACGAGCAAGTCATCAAATAGCTAAACCTTTAATGCCTTTAGTTTTGAAGTAAGATGAGACATCTCCATGATGTAACCCTTATACTTTAGTGAAACTAAGTTCGTCAAAAGGCATGCTAGTTTCGGCCTTATTGCCTTTTGCAAAGCTATTTTCAATTTTTTTTTTTAATAAACTCATTCGTAGTAGTTACATTAGTGCCCCTAAATGTTAATAGAATTTCACGCTTTATGATCATAAGACTCATGCGGTTTAAACGATCCCACTTATCCAAGTCCATTTTTAATTAGTGTAACTCTTATCCTTAAGAATAGGTGGATTGTTCAGCCATTGACGCAATGTCTAGATCTATATTGCTAAGAACGATACAAACGCTCTCTTTCCAGTTCTTAAACGTTAGTTCAAACACATGAATTAAATTGATGCTAGCGGTATTACAGAAGTAGATAGATTAACTGAATAGAGAACTTAAACTAAATAACATATTCATGTAGAAATCCTTATTAGACAATCAATAATTTCAAATTATGGTGAACGACATCACAAGAGACCGAGCACAACTTGATATTTAGTCTTTGGACAGAAATACCTACTTGTAAGTGGCACTCTTGGTGTAGTAATCAAATATTGACAATAAATATAATCAAATATCAAGTCTATCTTTGGCTCGACTCAATGTTCACATAATGGAAAACTTTACAATTGTCACATATTTATCACTACAAGTGTGTAAATAATTTGACCAAATATTAACCTTCATTTGGACCGATCAATATTCGTATGAATTATGTACACGTACTTTCTTAATATTCCAAATAAATTAATTTAGACAAGAGATGTTACTTTGATAACATGTTGCTTCAACCAATTTATTTTAAAATTTTAGTAATCTGAAAATAAATTTTGAAGTACCAAGATTTGAAATTGATTACCCCATTAATCATTATTATTATTATTATTATTATTATTATTATTATTAATCTTCTTTAGCGCAGGACATTGGACATGCGGCGCCCCAGCGCTGCCTTTACTGTCCAACCGCAACGTGCAATCACAATTTTGAATTTTCTTTCCATAAAATACCAATTACATGTGCGGCGCCCCATAAATATGAATGTAAAGGATTGTCTAGCACCACATATTCCAAATATCAAGTAATGATATGACAAGTATCCTATTCAAGAATGATTTTTTTTTCTTTTTTTAATGCACGTGCTTAATCATTCACACGGACAAAGTTGCTACCATAAGTTTTTTTTTTTGTGTAGAACTTAATTCAAAATAACAATAATCAATTATAACCATACACAAGTTCAACAATTAAGTCCCAAAATCTAAAATTTTAAAATTTACGGTTAAAATTCACGTCCCAAAATCGAAAAATTCAAAGTATGAATTTCAACCCTAAAAATTATCTATTGAATCTCAATAGTTTAACATGGAGTTGACTTTAATACCACTTGTTGAAATTTTATGAAACTTTAAACTTTATAAAACTAGAAAAAACTAATTGCTTAATTGTCAAGATCATCAGTGTCAAATCATCAAAAAATAAATAATGCGGAACATACCTTAATTTTTTGGGAATAATTTCTTATTATTGGATCTTGATTCCGGATCTTGAATTTGGATTATTGGCTCTCTTGGTTCTTGATCTTGATTTTTCTTCTTACTCCATAATCTTGATTGTCTTGTTTCGCGATTTAATTGCTCCAATCATTCTTTATGATTGTGGGTTTTGGATCTTTTTCTTCAATATGTTCTATTCTTGTATTTTGTGTTGATGGGAAGACACAAAAAAATGATAAGTTACATACGAATTAGGAACCATAGATATAGCTGATTTTGAAGGAGCTCAATGACAAACAATATCTTATGTCAGAATATATTTTACAACACATATTCCTGCATAGATAGTTATACGTTGCACTTTCAAGATGAATTTCTATGACAACTACAAACATTTTAGTGAAGTCGGATATTCTTAATCACACAAAAAAAAATTGTATACAAAGATTTTCATTGAATAAAAAATTCATTCCACATAAATAATTTGTATTAACTATTTTTTATATTCACACATTTTCAAATATTACTTTCATAGTACTTATAAAACAATTCAGAATAACATGCAACGTACATTCAATTATGATTAGTTAATAAATATTTTGTAAATTTAGGTTTGAGTATTTTGAAATGCGAGGTTTCACAAATATCATGTTA